AGTGTACCATCAAATATGTCAAAAGGAGTTAGTGTACTTCCAAGACAACCTTGCGATGATCAATTAGTACGTGTCAAGCTCAAAAGAAAGCTGTCGTATAAAGGGTATTATGAATATCGTAATGTCAATACCAAAAATGTCATGGATGCTTTGCAGTATTTGAAAAAATATAATAAATGGTATCATACAATAGATATTGATGCTATGTGGACTATTGAACATATTGAAGAAAGCGAAACTGTTGTAAATGATGATAATTCTGAAGCTGTAAAAAATGATGAATGTGGTGAAGAATTAGATATTGCTAAAGAAGAAAAACTTGTCTTGAATAAAACAGCACAAAATGAAACAAATAAAGAAGCCATTCATGAGGATAATGATAAGCCAAGAGGATTACCACTTGACTCTTGTCTCCAAGAAGAAACTATACATGTTGCACATGATTATATTCATGAGAATAACATGAAAGATAATTGTAATGTCGAATTAGATAATGAAAAACATGAAAAAAAGGGAACAGACGAACTGAAAACACAAAATGAATCAAATGAAGAAGAAGTCATTGATGATGATGATGATGATGATAAGTTACGAGGATTACCACTTGACTCTTGTTTCCAACCTGTGAATATTGGACAACAATTACTGGATGAAGAATTTGCTGATATTTTATGTATTGCTCCATGTGAAGGATCAACTCCTTTACGCATTTTATTTAATCTATGGACTGAAGCTCAAACATTTCCTACCCTTTTTCCACAAGGACTTAATACATATCATGAAAAACGTGAACAGAAAATTTCACTAAAAAGGTATTTCCATAATCGATTAATGAATGTAGATAACAGATTTGCACAAAATACAGACTATATATTTTATGCACAATACATTAGTGAAATTGAAAATGTAATGTCTAGTATATCTATAGCTTTACGAACAGGTGGTCAAAAGACCAGTGACGATAATGAAGTGACAGCCTCTATGCTAAAAAATGATAAAGAACTGAGTAAAATTTTGAAGTCTGATAGAGGTTATAGATTCCTATCATCTGTAAGAGGAACACCTCCATATTGGCAAAGAGTTCAAAAAGACTTACTAGCAATGATTCGTCAGCTGGGAATACCAACTTTTTTTGTCAGCTTTTCAAGCGCTGATTTAAGATGGCCAGAGGTAGTAAATACAATTTTAAAACAACAAGGTGATACTACAAGGACTGCGGAAACGATGGATTGGAATGAGAAATGTGCTGTATTAAGAAGTAATCCTGTCACTGCTGCTCGAATGTTTGACAAAAGATTTCATCTGTTTGTTACAAATGTTATTAAATCTAAAGCAAAACCAATAGGTAAAGTAGTAGACTCTTTTTTTAGAGTGGAATTTCAATTACGTGGAAGTCCTCATATTCATGGGCTTGTGTGGATTGATAATGCTCCTAAACTAGACACAGATAGTGATGAAAGAGTTAAAGAATTTGTTGATAAATACATTACATGCCATTTACCAACAATAGAAGAGGATGAAGAGTTGAAGGATATACTAGAACATGTGCAAATGCATAGCAAAAAACATTCTAAATCTTGTAAAAAGGGGCGCAAAGAATGTCGCTTTAATTTTCCTAGACCTCCTTCACAAAGAACATTTGTGGTTAGACCCAAACCTGATAAAGACCCATTTGTTATGGCTAAAGCTAGGGATCTAGTATCATCAGTGAAAGACAAATTGAGGGATGCTACAAGTGAATACAATAGTATAGAAGAATTGTTTGAAGAGCTTAATACATCACAGGAGGAATTTGAAAAGGCATATTGTATGGTTGCAGAAAGGGTATCTATTGTACATAGTCGAAATTTAAAATCTGTATGGGTAAATCAATATAATAAACATGTATTGCGAGCTTGGAATGCTAATTGTGATATACAGTTTGTATGTGATGTATATGCTTGTGTTCAGTATATAGTAGCCTACATTTCTAAATCAGAACGTGAATTGGGCAAGGTTTTGCAAGCTGTTCATGATGAAATATCAACTGGTGGTAACGATACTAAAACATGTATGAAGGAACTTGGCCATGCTTTTATTAAAAATAGAGAAGTTTCCGCTCAAGAAGCTGTGTATAGAGTGTGTGGTCTCAGTTTAAAGGAATTTTCACGAAAAGTAGAATTCATACCGGTGGGTGAAAATCCAACAAGATTAAGTTTACCATTGTCAGTCATTAAGTCAAAATCAGATGATGATGATAATATTTGGGCCAAGAACAAGGTAGACAGGTACAGGAATCGTCCTCATAATGAAGTGTTTGAATTCATGTGTTTAGCAACTTTCTGTTCTGATTACAGGGTTTTGTATGGCAAGCAAGTAAAACAACAGGAGAATATTCATAAATTGTTGAATGGACATGGTTTTGTGCAGAAAAGAACAAAGAAAAATGCTATCATTAGATATCCAAGATTTAACGTTGAGACAAATACTGAAAGGTTTTATCAAAGTATGCTTCAACTTTTTTTACCTTATAGAACAAATGATGAACTAAAGCCATCAGAGTTTAAGTGTTATCAACAGTTCTTTTTTCTTGGAAGTGTGCAACTTAATTTGAAAGTTAAAAAGGTTCGGACAATAGTTACCAGAAATAAAGCTTTCTATGAAAAAGATGCAGAATCATTTGATAAAGCAAAGGAATTTCTTGAGAATATGCCAGAAGATATTGATGCTTGGTCAACCTTGTGTCCAGAATCAGAGAAAAGTAGGCTTGAGGAAGAGAATGACAAAGACTCTGTTACATATGAGAGTGATAGCGAGTTTGCGGTACCTGACTTATGTACGAAGGATAGTAGTGATTCACACCATAGGATTGAATTACGTGAACCTAAATTGTCAGAGCAAGATAAAATGTCGTTATTTAGATCCATGAACACTAAACAATGTGAAGTCTTTTACAAAGTGAGAGAATGGTGTATTAATAAGACTTTAGACTCTAATATTGACCCTTTTTTTGTGTTCCTTACTGGAGGAGCTGGTGTTGGAAAATCACATCTTGTACGATGTATATATACAGAAGCAACACGGATATTAGCAAAAACTTCTGAAAACCCTGATTCCATTGTAGTTTTGAAAGTTGCACCAACTGGGGTTGCAGCCTTTAACATTCAAGGTCTAACAATCCATAGTGCTTTCTCACTCCCCCTTAGAATGCGTTTACCTTATGTGCCACTGACTGAAGAGAGACTTAGTTCATTGCGAAACACCTTATCTCAAGTTCAAATTGTTATAATTGATGAAATTTCTATGGTGGATCAGAATATCTTTGGTTATATTCATGGACGTCTTCAACAAATAAAAGGAAAGTCTAGTGACTTTGGTCATGTAAGTGTTATTGCTGTGGGAGACTTTTATCAATTGGCTCCAGTGGGAGGCACACCTTTGTATAATGAATCTGTTAATTCAAGGTTATGGCATGACAATTTCAAGATAATAGAACTAGACGAGATAATGCGTCAGAAAGATGATGCTGAGTTTGCAAATTTACTGAACAAACTACGCATAAGAAAAAGAAATGAAGATGTAGATGAACATGATCTATCACTTTTAAGAAGTTGTGAGGCTCATGAATATACAGATGATGTTTTACATATCTATCCTAAAAATAAAGATGTTGATGCACACAATATACATATGCTGTCTAAAAATTTCAAAGAAATCAAAGTTACTAAAGCAGTCGATTCCAACCCTAAATCTAATTCTATAAAGAAAAACAAAAAAGAAAAAGTAACATTACCTGAAAAATTATCCATTGCAGTTGGGGTGAGGGTTATCCTTACACGAAACATAGATACATCAGATGGTTTAAGTAATGGCCAAATTGGAACTGTAAAGGCATTTATTGAAGGAACTGAACCATTTACACTAAAGTATATATATGTGCAGTTTGATAATGATAAAGTTGGTGCCAAATTTAGAAAGACTAATAAGATATTTAAAGATTATGAAAATTCTGTTCGTATTGCAAAAGTAGAGGAGGTTCATGATAATTTTAAACGCTTGCAATTTCCATTAAAGCTAGCCTATGCTTCAACAATTCACAAAGTTCAAGGTTTAAGTTTGGAAAAGTGTTTATTTAATATGAAAGGTATCTTTTGTGCTGGCCAAGCTTATGTGGGATTGAGCCGTTTAACATCTTTAAAAGGACTGACTTTGAAAGAGTTTGATATTAAATACATATATTGTAATGAGAGTATTTCTGAGTCCATTGCACAAATGCCTCACTTTTTGGAGACACAATGTACACCAAGCTTATCTTATGAGCACATGATAATATTACATAATGTTCAAGGTTTAAGATTACACTTTGAAGACCTTTGTAAACAGATTCAAAATATGAATGCAGACTTTATTTGCCTCACAGAAACCTGGCTGAAAGATGAGTATTTTCCTTTGGATGTAGAATTATCAGATTACAAAAGTTACCATCAACCAAGATACATGGCTTATAATAATTCAAGTGAAATAACTACCAAACTTGGGCAACAATCACATGGTGGAGTGTCATGTTACGGCAAAATTACCAAATCATTTTCTAGATTACATTTAACAAATAACATTGAAAATATTGCTATTCACATAGTTTCAAAGTTTTCAGTCCTACTTGTTGTAATATATAGACCAGCCTCATACAAAATGTCTGTGTTTCTTATGCATTTGAAGAATTTGGTAGAAACAGCTCATAATCATAGTCAAAAAGTTATCATTATGGGAGATTTTAATGAAAATTATACACAAAGTTCTTGTTTAGTAAAGTTTTTCATTGGTTATGGATATAAGCAATTTGTAACCAATTCAACAACAGAAAGAGGAACTATAATAGACCATGTTTACATAAGAGGGTTTGATTTGCAAGATATTTGTATTGTACCAACTTACTATAGTTATCATGAATGTATTAAGATCCTAGTTTAGCATTACTGCATATTTGTCAACAAGGAAAGTAATACAAGCTTTATTTTTAGTGCTAAATTGTATCAGGCAATGTGAACACTCCCTGTACCGTGGAGGAGTCCAAGTCTACCCCCCTCAAGTTCTTGATTGAGAAGCACGCTGGTGGTGTAGAGGGCGGTTGGGATAACCTCTTAACTGTCAACTCAGGGGGTTCTTCTACTTCTATGATCCCTAAAGAGTGAGTATTAATGCCCCTCTGCACTAGATGGCCAGGAGGGATTAGAGGGATTAGTGTGGTCACTGACAGGTGGTTATCTCATCAACTCAGCTCTTAATTAACATAAGAAAAAGAGGATCATGAGAGACCAATGGGCACCGCTTAGGTATGCATAATCCTGTCAACAAGCATCATTGCAGGAACTTTGAGAATTTTCAATCTTTGTATCTTCCCCATGCTAACTTTCAGATCATCTGCAGAAGGGGAGCTCTGTGGTTTTGCTGGCTTCAGATGTGAACGCAACCAGGCCACCAAACTCTTCAACATCTCAGGCAATGTGAACACTCCCTGTACCGTGGAGGAATCCAAGTCTACTCCCCTCAAGTTCTTCATTGAGAAGCACGCTGGTGGTGTAGAGGGGGGTTGGAATGACCTCTTAACTGTCAACCCAGGGGGTTCATCTACTTCTATGATCCCTAAAGGGTGAGTATTAATGCCCCTCTGCACTAGATCGGGCGAGGAGGGATTAGAGGGATTAGTGTGGTCACTGACAGGTGGTTATCTCATCAACTCAGCTCTTAATTAACATAACAAAAAGAGGATCATGAGGGACCAATGGGCACCGCTTAGGTATGCATAATCCTGTCAACAAGCATCTTTGCAGGAACTTTGAGAATTTTCAATCTCTGTTTCTTCCCCATTATGCTAACTTTCAGATCATCTGCAGAAGGGGAGCTCTGTGGTTTCGCTGGCTTCAGATGTGAACGCAACCAGGCCACCAAACTCTTCAACATCTCAGGCAATGTGAACACTCCCTGTACCGTGGAGGAGTCCAAGTCTACTCCCCTCAAGTTCTTCATTGAGAAGCACGCTGGTGGTGTAGAGGGGGGTTGGAATGACCTCTTATCTGTCAACCCAGGGGGTTCATCTACTTCTATGATCCCTAAAGAGTGAGTATTAATGCCCCTCTGCACTAGATCGGGCGAGGAGGGATTAGAGGGATTAGTGTGGTCACTGATAGGTGGTTATCTCATCAACTCAGCTCTTTATTAACATTAGAAAAAGAGGATCATGAGGGACCAATGGGCACCGCTTAGGTATGCATAATCCTGTCAACAAGCATCTTTGCAGGAACTTTGAGAATTTTCAATCTCTGTTTCTTCCCCATTATGCTAACTTTCAGATCATCTGCAGAAGGGGAGCTCTGTGGTTCGCTGGCTTCAGATGTGAACGCAACCAGGCCACCAAACTCTTCAACTTCTCAGGCAATGTGAACACTCCCTGTACCGTGGAGGAGTCCAAGTCTACTCCCCTCAAGTTCTTCATTGAGAAGCACGCTGGTGGTGTAGAGGGGGGTTGGAATGACCTCTTAACTGTCAACCCAGGGGGTTCATCTACTTCTATGATCCCTAAAGAGTGAGTATTAATGCCCCTCTGCACTAGATGGCCAGGAGGGATTAGAGGGATTAATGTGGTCACTGATAGGTGGTTATCTCATCAACTCAGCTCTTTATTAACATTAGAAAAAGAGGATCATGAGGGACCAATGGGCACCGCTTAGGTATGCATAATCCTGTCAACAAGCATCTTTGCAGGAACTTTGAGAATTTTCAATCTCTGTTTCTTCCCCATTATGCTAACTTTCAGATCATCTGCAGAAGGGGAGCTCTGTGGTTCGCTGGCTTCAGATGTGAACGCAACCAGGCCACCAAACTCTTCAACAACTCAGGCAATGTGAACACTCCCTGTACCGTGGAGGAGTCCAAGTCTACTCCCCTCAAGTTCTTCATTGAGAAGCACGCTGGTGGTGTAGAGGGGGGTTGGAATGACCTCTTAACTGTCAACCCAGGGGGTTCATCTACTTCTATGATCCCTAAAGAGTGAGTATTAATGCCCCTCTGCACTAGATGGCCAGGAGGGATTAGAGGGATTAATGTGGTCACTGATAGGTGGTTATCTCATCAACTCAGCTCTTTATTAACATTAGAAAAAGAGGATCATGAGGGACCAATGGGCACCGCTTAGGTATGCATAATCCTGTCAACAAGCATCTTTGCAGGAACTTTGAGAATTTTCAATCTCTGTTTCTTCCCCATTATGCTAACTTTCAGATCATCTGCAGAAGGGGAGCTCTGTGGTTTCGCTGGCTTCAGATGTGAACGCAACCAGGCCACCAAACTCTTCAACTTCTCAGGCAATGTGAACACTCCCTGTACCGTGGAGGAGTCCAAGTCTACTCCCCTCAAGTTCTTCATTGAGAAGCACGCTGGTGGTGTAGAGGGGGGTTGGAATGACCTCTTAACTGTCAACCCAGGGGGTTCATCTACTTCTATGATCCCTAAAGAGTGAGTATTAATGCCCCTCTGCACTAGATGGCCAGGAGGGATTAGAGGGATTAATGTGGTCACTGATAGGTGGTTATCTCATCAACTCAGCTCTTTATTAACATTAGAAAAAGAGGATCATGAGGGACCAATGGGCACCGCTTAGGTATGCATAATCCTGTCAACAAGCATCTTTGCAGGAACTTTGAGAATTTTCAATCTCTGTTTCTTCCCCATTATGCTAACTTTTAGATCATCTGCAGAAGGGGAGCTCTGTGGTTTCGCTGGCTTCAGATGTGAACGCAACCAGGCCACCAAACTCTTCAACATCTCAGGCAATGTGAACACTCCCTGTACCGTGGAGGAGTCCAAGTCTACTCCCCTCAAGTTCTTCATTGAGAAGCACGCTGGTGGTGTAGAGGGGGGTTGGAATGATTTCTTAACTGTCAACCCAGGGGGTTCATCTACTTCTATGATCCCTAAAGAGTGAGTATTAATGCCCCTCTGCACTAGATCGGGCGAGGAGGGATTAGAGGGATTAGTGTGGTCACTGACAGGTGGTTATCTTGTGCCAATATCTATCATGGTGCAGTTAAAGGAAGTTGAGAGAAAATTGTATTTCAAATATTTTGCTGTTCTTCAGAACAACTTGTTATTGCAAATTGAGTTTACTTTTAGATCATACACATACATGGTTGTAGAAAATGAAAGCAAAAATGAAATGCAAAAAAATAATGAAGTGAAAATTCATAGCACACACCTTTTTTTCTTTTCTTCTACTGCAGGTTCCTCATTTTACATCTTTGGTAGATGGATGGCTCTTTGCACTTTGACCAATGAGCTTATCTGTATTTCATCCATCAAGCACCGGTGATTTGATATTATCTCCAGCAATGGACATGATTGGAATAAAACAACCTTACACAACTGATAATGGCACTGTGACTAATTTATTTGTATGCATTCTTTTCTGTAATACTTGTTATAAGTAAGTTAAATTTGCATGATTTAAAAACCGCTAAAAGGTATACAATATTGACTATCCCTTTTGTGGTTTAGATATTTGATTAGGACCATAATTATGCACATGAAAAGTTACATCCTAGTAATTTGTCAAAAGACATATGGGAATCTCAAATTGGCAAATTAGCCATTCAACTGTGATGTAATTGCAGTATTTTTTTCATTTGTTGGAGACTAAATATCATTATTATTGCTTTTATTAAAATTATTATTATTGTGGTAATTGTTTATTTCTATTTTTGTAGTAATTGTGATATGGAAATGAGAAAAATATTTATAAAAGAATAGAAGTAGTAGAATGGCATGGAAATGAGAGAAACATTTATGAAAGAAAGATGTGAATATGAAAAAGAAAGAATATTTAAATGGAATTATATAGAAAAGAAGATAGATGACGGAATGAGAGGGAAAATAACGAGAGTAAATGAGCGATAGAGTGTGTATGTGGAGGGGGAAGGGATGACAATGGCAATTTAAACGGGATAACCTCGCTATCAATAAGGATCATTATTCATCAATGTCATTATTCATAATGCACTTCTACCATATACTAGCAAACTGCTATTCATATCATACAAATAGGTTGCTATTTAGAATATACATAAGGACCACTATCCACAAGGGTCACTATTCGGGAAAGGGACATAACAATGACTATTCATAGTTTAGATTAAAAAACAATATTCATAAGGGTCACCGTTAGTCACTATTCATAATATACAAACCCCTTTGCTGAATTATGAGCATCAAAACCCTCTTTTTTTGTTTATATGATGACAACAAAAATAACATCCTGAAAGATACTGAAACATAGACATATATATAGAAAAAGATAGAAAGACAAAATCGCAAGGATGAAAGCAAAAAATAGTATGAGCAAATATAATAATAAGAAATGATATGATAGGAAAACATAGGCCCTAATGATAATGAAATATTAAAATAAACAAGATAAATTGATCGATTAAACCAAACAATACCATTAGAAAGGTAGTAAGAGAAAACAAACCTTGAAACACTAAACAGATTGAGTAAATAATGACATGAAGAAAGATGGCAATACAACGCTCTTATTGGAAAATGAATGGGAGCTGTGAGTGATATCTTTGTTACATGTAGGCCTATGTTACTATTGATACGCGACAACACACATCTTTATACACAATGCACAACGGCTCGAAACGGACAAAATGGCGCCTGGATGGACGGGTGTGCATGAGTGATTCCGGAGAACGAAGATTACAGTGACCTGGATGGGATGGTAGTGGCTATGCCTACGGAGTTTGAAAGAAATTGGGATAGGGGAAAGAACCTAGAGAGGGCTCGCAAGCACTGCGTGCAAAAACCAATGGGATTTGGTGCATGTTCGTCATTGCAATCAAGATCGTTCTGGGGGCCAAAAGCCTGAACCCGATATGCCCCATAGACAATGCGTGTAATGCATGGGCGGAAAACGTACAGGATCTGTATTATGACCGGAGTTAAATTGTTTTTTCTCTCTCTCTTTATGTCTCTTTATGGGCCGTATTTGGTATCATTAGAAAGAAAATTTCATGGTTGTTATTGCAAACCACTCTTTTTTTTTCTATGATAATCCTATCGAAACACATGATGTAAAATAGATTTATAGGACAAAATGGCGTCTTAAATGGCCCCCTTGACCAATTTTAAAAATCCGGCCAAGAGGTGCCCTGCGTATTGGAACTCGGCATGTCACTGCAAATTTTCAAGGAAAAAAAAGGACGTTTAAGGGGCGAAAAGCAGTCTGAAAAAATGACGTCATAGCCGATACGTGTTAGATTCGGGCGGAAACTCGGCGGAATTCGTGTAGTGATCTTTGTTCAAATGCGATTTATTCACAATTTTCTGTGTGAACATATACTATACTTGGTATCATTCGAAAGGGCACTTCATTGCGGTCAGTTTGACACCATTGTTATCTTCGCGCAATGTATTGCACGCATTTAACGCGCTATCACGCAATGCATAGTAAATACATCATTTTTTGAGATAACTTTGCGCTGACATAATCAAATTTTACCAAACTTTGCGGACAGTTGTCACGTATATAAATACATGTGTGTGCCAAGTTTTATTGACGTAGGTCAAAGGATCGTAATTTTAGAGCAAGTTGAAGTTATTTTGGAATTTTCTTGAAAATGGCGAATTTGGAGGGCAATTTTCTCAAATTTGGTCAGTGATAGGGTATATAATTTTGTATATGGCTGGAAAGGGCATATCTTCAAGTATCTAAATCCAAAAAAGGGTACGGGTTTGCCAAGCCATTATGGAGATACGGCCACAGAGAGAAAGCCAATTCCCAGAACTTTAGAGGGCGCTATTTATGTTGTGCAAAGTCATTGGAGCGTGAAATTTGGCATGGCTATGTGCAATTATGAGATAAGGATACTGTGAGATTTAAATACAAAACGGAATTTATATGAGAAAGTTATGGCAGTTTTAGATTATTTAGGTGTCAATTTTTCAAGAATTTGAGAGATAGTTGACGGAGTCGGTTTCAGATTTGAATTTTGAGTATGAAGATGGCATTTTGAAGGGCAGGTTATACGTCGCAGATAAAAGAACATCTCTTGGACTATCTAGAGGAATTTGTTAGAAATGTGTAGGATCTAGGATAGTGGAGATAGGAAGGAAGAAAGAAAGGCCTTAAAATGGACCAGAAACGGACAAAATGGCGCCTGGACGGTTATGCATGAGTGATTTCGAAAATCGAAGAATGTAGTGACCTTGAAGGGATGTTAGAGACTATGCCTATGAAATGTGAAAGGAAAAGGACATGAGAAAAGCACCTAACTAGGAATAACAAACATTACGTGCAAAACGAATGCGATTTCCTGACGATAAGGAAAAGGAAAAGGAGGAAAAGGAGAATATTAATGGGGCAGAATGTGAACGAAAACAAGGCAATGACGAAGGTCGTCATTGCAAAGAAGAAGTAAGAATATTAATAAGAAGAATGTGAACGAAAACAAGGCAATGACGAAGGTTCGTCATTGCAATTACAGCGATGTCTAGCACAAACGAAACTACAAAACAAAAACACATATGTCTCTGATAGCGAGACAAGACGCAATACTAAGAAAGCCACAGGTGACCACATATTTGCTGTGGATCCCCGAAACCCCACCAATCCAACTAAGAGGGAAAATGTATCAAACGTTTCCCCCTTGAAAAGAAGGCACACCGGCTTAAAATAATCACACACAATCCTGCTTATTGTATGATAACTTTTGTTAAGTCCGGGAAATGTATACACTTAATTATTTTACATATTTACAAATGTGCGACCTCCTATGATTCACACGGTCAACCTAAACACAAACTCCCCTTTCACAGAAGAGGCCAAATATAATAAAACGATCGATAGCTTGACCGTAGTACTTTTGCGGAAACGACTAGCCCTTGATCATAGTCTTAATTCGTATCATACGTGTATATACA